CCAAAAATTTGCAAATTTCACTGATTTTCGCCGATTTCAACACTTTTTTGTTTGAAAATGTTTTCAAAACTTTTTGTTTTTTGTTTTAAATAATAGGCTTAGGCAAAAACCCCTTGTTTCCCTTCCTCTGGGACACCCGCATTTTGGCGCCAAATTCAAAAAAAAAATTTTAGAAGATTTTTTTTTTCAGATTTTTTTTTGTGATTTTAGATGGGAATTTGTCTAAAAAATAGGCTTAGGCTTCTTCGCCGCTCTTTTCTACCCCAGAGACACTAAATTAGCCTCAAAAAACGAAAAAAAAAGTGGCCCCCCCCCCCCAACTACCTTAGCGCCATCTAGAAAACGTTGAAAAACTTGTCTGAAAATTTAATTTAATTTTTAAATCTGTGCATGATTATGCCGCGGTGTTTGCGTGCAATACACCACTTGGCGCGAGCTCGCCAATTTTTGTTTTTTTAGGCCAGTCCTCGAATTTTTTTCCTCGAATTTTTTTTCATTCTTCTGCTCTGTTGACATTACAAACTTTTCCTCATGTTCGATTAAGATTGAGATCGTCATATTTTCCCTTCCTTTGTTTCAAATTATAAAAATATTTTTTCAATATGAATCTTCCGTTCGAATTAGATTTTTTGCTCCTCGGAACCTCCTCCCACAGTCTTTTGCGAGCACAGGCGACTGGGTGTCGCTAACTGCGTTCTTCATGTCTGTTTATATTGTTTTGTCGCACTCCTCACTTTCTTTCTTGTACTGCAAAATGCATTTAAATGTATAAATTTCTCATTTTTACAGTATGACTGCCCCACCAACCAAAGAGGAGATTCTCTCCACCATGAAAGAGGCGGAACCACTTCTGGCCTTCTACGATGAGCTCTCCAACGAGGAGAAGTCGAAACTCTACAAGCAACTGTCCACGCTGAATCTCTCCGAAGCGCGTCAATGGTTCATCGACTCAGAAGAGCAACGATCGCCATCGTCAGCAGAAGACTTCCGTCCGATCCCACGCTCCCACCACTTCGCTCAAACGGAATTACATAAGGTGGTATTGGATCAACTGTGGAACACAGGAATGGATGCGATCGCCAAGGGAGAAGTTTGCGCTATTGTTCTGGCTGGAGGACAGGCGACACGTCTTGGATCCAGTCAACCGAAAGGAACCATTCCGTTGGGAATCAACGCGGCGTTCGGAGACTCATTGTTGGGAATTCAAGCAGCCAAGATTGCACTGCTGCAAGCTCTTGCAGGAGAGCGCGATCATCAAACCCCCGGAAAGATCCATTGGGCAGTGATGACGTCGCCAGGAACGGAAGAAGCCACTCGTGAACACGTTCAAATGTTGGCCAAGCACCATGGATTCGATTTCGACGAGCAAATCACAATTTTCTCGCAAGACGAAATCGCCGCGTACAATGAGAAGGGAGAGTTCCTCCTTGGCACGAAGAGCTCTGTGGTTGCTTCTCCGAGTGAGTTTGCTTCTAAATTAAAGGGCGACCAACTTAATTTTTTTTTTCCAGACGGCAACGGTGGCTTGTACTCTGCAATCTCCGCCCATCTTCCTCGTCTTCGTGCCAAAGGAATCAAGTATTTCCATGTGTACTGTGTGGATAACATCCTTTGCAAAGTCGCTGATCCACATTTCATTGGATTCGCGATTTCGAAAGAAGCCGACGTGGCAACGAAGTGTGTCGCGAAGCAACAGGGAGAACTCGTTGGATCGGTGTGCTTGGATCATGGAAAGCCACGTGTCGTGGAGTATTCGGAGTTGGGCGCGGAGCTTGCCGAGCAGAAGACGTCCGATGGAAAGTACCTCTTCAGTGCGGGCTCCATCGCCAATCATTTCTTCACTATGGATTTCATGGATAGGTTAGTGAAAACACCAAAAACTTCCGTTTTTTTAACGTATTACTTCCAGAGTGTGCTCTCCATCATCCCGCCTTCCATACCACCGCGCCCACAAGAAAATCGCATTCATCGACTCGAATGGAGACGTCATCAAACCAGAAAAGCCGAATGGAATCAAACTCGAGCAGTTCATCTTCGACGTTTTCGAGTTGTCGGAACGCTTTTTCATCTGGGAAGTGCCACGAAACGAGGAGTTCTCGCCACTCAAAAACCATCAATCCGTCGGTGTCGACTGTCTGAGCACATGCCAGAAGGATTTGGCTTGTGAGTTTATTAATTTTTATAACTCGAAGATATATAATTTTGTTTCCAGACGTCAACGAGTTGTGGCTGAACCGTGCAGGCGCCATCCTGAATTCCACCAACCGTCTCTTCCTGAAAACGATGGCCTCCTACAACGGCGAGAACCTCCAGGAGCTTCGTCACCGTGAGGTCACCGACCAGAGCATTGAAACGAACCATGAGATCAACAAGTTCTTCGTCAATCATTAGTTCTTTTCTTGTGTTAAGATTATATTGCATTTTTTGGCCCCCGTTTTGTAAAATCTGTAAATACACCACTCATCGGGTTTCCCCATTTTGCTTTCCCAGTTTCATATTTCTACTGCTTGTGATATAAAAGTTTTATATTCAGAGATTGGTTTTTTTTTAAATTTCAGGTCTCACTGCTAATTAGCACTTCATTCTAATTAGCACTTTTCCCCCCTAATTGCAATTTCAGATCGAAGCTACTTCTTGAGATCATCTGAATCAAACATCAGTTATTTCTACTCAAACGTATTTATATACAGTTGATAAGACCAAATCAATCTGTTCTCTGTTCTCTCTCACAACAATCACCCATAAAAGAAGTCACATTATCTGTGTACCGGCCGTCTATTTTCTCATATTTTCTGACCAAAATGACTCCTCTACCTTCTCTACTGACTTTAGATGACTATAGAAAGTATTCAGAGAGAAATCTCATCAAATTAGCTAGAGATTACTATGAAAGTGGTGCTGAGCAAGAGACAACATTGAGGAGAAATGTCTCTGCTTTTGATAAGTGAGCGAAAACTCGAAAATCTTCTTTTTTCCACGACAAATTCCAGTCTTCTGATCCGCCCCAGATGTCTTCGATCTGTGGAATCAATTGACACATCGGTGACGTGGCTCAATGGAAAACGGGCGGCCTATCCACTAGGAATCGCGCCGACAGCGTTTCAGAAGATGGCTACAAAAGATGGGGAGTTGAGTACTGTTCGTGGAGCAGCGGCGAGCAAATCGATAATGATTTGTAGTTCTTGGTCCACAACTTCTATTGAAGAAATTGGAAAAGAGGCGAAAATTGTTGGCGCGGCGCTTTGGTTTCAGGTTTTTTAACACCAAAGAAGCTCCAAGAAGGTGCCTTTTCAGCTCTACGTCTACAAAGACCGTAATGTAACTGAATCTTTGATTCATCGTGCTGAAGCTGCTGGCGTTGAGGCTCTAGTTCTCACTGTTGATACTCCAGTATTGGGACGTCGTCTGAAAGACACATATAACAAATTCTCACTTCCACACCACTTAAAATTCGCTAACTTTGAATCTAATACACAAGCAGAGATGCCAAAGGGGCATACTGGAGAATCGGGATTTATGCAATACGTTAGCTTGCAAATCGATCCATCTCTAGATTGGAACACATTGGAGTGGATTAAAACGTAATTGCTCAAGCAATCAAGAATGATTATATAGTCGAAATTCAGAAAAACGAAATTGCCAGTGATTGTAAAAGGGGTCATGAGAGGAGACGATGCTCTTCTAGCGCTTGGAGCAGGAGCAGATGGAATAATAGTCTCTAACCATGGAGGACGACAAATGGATTCTTCCATCGCTACGGTATTAAAAATTTGAAACTCCCCAAATTGAAAATTCTAATCGATATTCCAGATAGAAGCTTTGCCGGAAGTTCTAGCTGCTGTTGACAAGCGAATCCCCGTTTGGATGGATGGTGGCGTTCGCAACGGAAGAGACATCTTCAAGGCTGTAGCTCTCGGAGCACGGGGTGTTTTCGTCGGCCGCCCGGTTCTCTGGGGACTCGCCACTTCGGTAATTTCCCTCGTTCTCTCACTGCTCAATCATCAATGTTCAGGGTTCTTCGGGGGTGGTAGCGGTGCTTGGAATTCTTCAGAAGGAATTCCTCCATTCGATGCAGTTGTCTGGATACAGGTCGATTGAGGAGCTTCAAAAAGACGATCGAGCCGTCGTGCACGCTTCAAAGCTATAATTTCATAATCACAAGCATTTATATTATATCATGTACAGAAAGAATGAAGAAAAGTTAAATTGACCGGATTTTGGAGAAGCATATAAAGTTAAAGTGCCATGTAATGGAGGTTTTCAGAGTAGCAATGTGCTTTTTTTGCTACTTCTGAATGAGAATATTTAGAACATGTTCAAATGTACATTGAGCAATTGAAGGTTACGCTGGCAACTTGGGAAGTCCGAACTCGTCGACTTCGAGACCTTCGGCAACTCTTGTCTTCGGCTTTTCCGCTGGAACAGTTGGAGCCGCAAGAGCTTCGTCCAAATAATTCGTATCGGATTCTCCAATGTCCAGCTCGTCACCAAGCATAGCGAGCTCTGCTTCGAGGTCAGCCTCGTCAAGCTGAAATTATTTACTACCTTTTAGTCACAAAATCGATAACTATAACTTACGTCAGGAGTATCATATTGTCTGCTCATTGCCTCTTGTATCTCGTTATTCATATCCAACATATCTTCCATTTGGTCTTGAAGGTCCTCTATCTTGTCAATGTTCATCTTCTTGTACTCCTTTTGCATCGTCTTCAATCCTTCCTTCATCGCAGCGACAGTCACTTGATTATCCTTCATTCCCTGAATAGCGAAATTGCTCTGGTCCATATTGAAGCATTGTTGGTCTAGCTGACCCTTTTGATTCTCGTACATCCGCTTTTGTTTCAATACTCTATAACAAAATTTTCTTTGATATCGATTGTCATTTAAAGGAAAACTCACCGTAACGCCTTCTGCTTGATAAGATTTTTGCTGGGTCCCTCGCGCATTTTCGACATTTGATCACGAAGTTTCATGAGATCTCCATCGAGCTTCTGGATTTTCTTGTCGATACTGTCGCTTCTGGACTCAACGTTGGCTATGGCATTGTTGAGATCTGGTGGTGGCACTTTTTTGGCTGTTCCGAAAATTCTGTTCATTCTGGAATTGGAATAAAATAATAGGAAGCGAAAATTTAGAAAAATTAGAAAGCCAGAAAGTAAAAATAGGTAAAAACGGGTGATTTCAAACGGGGCGGAGCATAGAAATTGCTATCGAAATTGCGAAATCTGACCTTACAATATTTACTGGAAGGGAACATAAATTGTACTGAATTTAAATATCAATTCCTGTGATTACGGAAATAAAGGAATCCATATACTGAAATAAGCAAATTCATAAGTTCTGCATAAAATTTTTAATCGTCGAAAACTTAAATTTCAGCTGAAACAAAGAGGAAAAAGCTGAAAATTTACTGAATCAGACCATGAATGAGTCATAGAAGCATTCTGCGTCTCTTCATTTTCTTTACACTATGACGTCACAATCGGTGTGAGACCAGTCACCAGTGTCGGCGGACGCGTCGCGTATCGCGCGCGCAACCCTATTTTCGCCGCTTTTTCTCTTTTTTCTCTCCACTCTCTCGCCCCATTTTTTATCAAAAGGCGAGCCTCTCTCGCTTCTTTTCGTAGTGAAGTGACGTAGTCGATTTTGGGCTGACTGCCAATTTGTTTTCAACCATCACTCTTCCCTTTATAGACGTTCTTCAACCCGCTTTCGATGTTTCTTTTGAGTTAACAGCGCTTATCAGACGACAGGGATTTCACAGAAGCAGACGTTCAAGTTGACCTTCATCGCCAAGCGCGCGCGAAATTCTAGCGTCAGCTTCATTTGAAATCCAATACGCTAATTAGCTCATAGTTCAAAAATTAGTGCTCTCAGTGGGGTACGCACATGTGCCTAAACACGAATTTGTTGATGTTTATTCTTCCACTGCTCGTATAAATTTTGGGATTCAAAGATCATAATTTTCCCTCAAAAAAAATGTCGGAAAATATAATCACTTTTCGATACAGGGATATTTGAAGGTAGACTAACTGAGTTAAATTTCAATTAAATAGCTAAACAAAAGGCTAAGACTTTATTATGTACAATTAAAAACATACTAGGGATTTTCCTCCAATTCCTTCTCATGTGAAATACCTGAATCCGCATTTTGTCACAATCAGTTCATGTTCTATTTTTGAAAAAAAGATCAAGTCGATTTATTTCTCAAAGATCAGATAACTTGTGCCGATCAAGCGTTCCCACTCCCTTTTTCTTTCTGCGTCTCTCTACTTTCTCTGTTATTTTTTTTTGCAACATTTTTTTCCGGTGCCTTTTTTATCTTCTTCAGTTTGCTCAATTTCCATGACTTATTTATCGACCTAGAAACAACTGATGAACATTGGCTAGTCACAATATGGATCACCAGTTGTGACGTCGTTCCTTTAGTTTTTTTTTTTCTCGCGCTCAATAACTGAATTCCTCCTGTGTGTTAGTCTTTGAATCCTTCTTTCGCCTTCTCATGTCACTTTCCATTTTTTTTCTCATGCCCGTCTGAAAAATTTGAATTTTGATTTTCTTTTCATGTGTACGAGTCTTATTCTAATTTTTCCGATTTCCAGGAATGTCAGACACAAAAGGAGTCTCCGATGATCCAATGGAGAATGAGACGAGCTCGGTTGATGGTGTTAAAGAGGCAGAGGAGAAAGACAAGGTTAGCGTTTGAGGGGATAAAGTTTTTGTTATTGTTGACACTGCAAGTTGGTTTTTTCTCGCACTCTGACCCACCGTGTTTATTCGGATTTTATGTGAGACTAGGTGAGCAGGCCGTGAAGACACTCGCGAAGAGTAATTTTTTACACACGAAAGAAATCAATAGTATACAAGTTCTTTTTTCAGGATAATACCGAAAAAATGGACGTAGATGAGGAGCCAGATGAGCAGAAGTCAGCGTCTCAGGAAACCATGGAAACCGCGGAGGCTAGTGAGGAAAAGAGAGAAGACCTCGAGAAGCCGGTAGCAGAAGTGAAAGACGATGATTCAGTAGAGCAGAATAATGATAAAGACGAAGAAGAAAAAGAGGAGAAGCATGATGTGAAAACAGCTGCGGATGAAGTGAAAACGGAGGAGAATGATGGTGAAGGCGCGGACGAAAAAGAGAAAGACGAAGAGAAGAATGCTGATAAAGATGAAGAGAGCTCCGAAACGAAGGAAGATGAACCGTCAGAGGATGATCCGGAGCTCGCTGATGCTAAAGAAGACGAAGATTCAGCTAAAGACATGGAACAGGATGATCCGAGTGAGGAAAATACTGAAAAAGAAGAGAAGACAGCAGGAAACAAAGGAAAGTCGCAATCCCCCAAAAAGGAAGATAGGGACATAAAGAAGAGAGATAATACAGAGCAGTCAACGGCCAGCTGAAAAGAAGGAATGAAAAAAGTCCAAAAAGGATTCCAAAGGTGGATGGAAAAGAAAACAAAGAGGATGAGCAGCTGACTAGAAGAGAACATATTCTCGACCATCTAGATTTCAAAAGAGTAAGCTCGTAAATGAAAATTTCGCTCAATAAACTATTTTATTTGCAGGATGCCTCGAATCGGGTAAAACTCTACGTACTTTGCGATCAGAGAATTTGGGAGGATCGGGGCACAGGACACGTTGTCACTCATCAGTTAACAGCAGAAGATGGCGCTCCATCTAACGCCGGTAACACGATGGTTCTTGTACGTTTGGAAGGCAAAAGTGAGCCTATACATATCACGAAATGTATTTTAAATAAGCAAATTGTAGGTAAAAACATACTTGAGTCACGGATTCTCATGGACACTGTATATCAGAAGCAGCAGGTGAGACAAGAAAACCAAAAAGCTATGCAGTTTTCTTGTGAGCGGAGTGAGAGTTTTGACAGAAAATATGAACCTGGAAATAATGCACAGATTTGTTGCGAGTAGTCGTAATGATATTAAACGAATCATTTTCTTCGGTTTGTCGCTCCATTAGGAATGTATTGGCATTTGTGATTCGGCTTTTCTGAGCTGAAATACAATTTAGACCTTTTCTTGACATTTGTTCCTTTTCTTCTCCTGCGTCTCTTTTTCTGCTTTTTTCATGTAGTGGTCAACTCAGCGTACGAAAAATGTTATTTGTCCATTTTTAGATCACTTTCAGAAAACCTAGTTTCAGATTTTTAAAAACCTGCGATCAACTTCTATCATATTCAATTGTAGTAAATTTTCGTTTCGAGAATACTGAATATAAGTTTATTGATCAGAGTACCCCAACAGAAGCATTGATCGCAGTGTCTTATTCTTCGTCGTCTCTTCTCCTCTATTCTGTGCCGCTCTTTCCGTCAAATAATTGTTTTGAGAAGTCACTGAGCGGTGGTGCAGCGGTGTTTTGTCCAAGAGTGATGGCGCATGCGGCGTCGCCGCGCAAGCACGCTAAAAAAGATATGCCGAAATAGAAAATGCAGCCACACCAAACCAACTGCGAGGCCCGCCGCCAGTAAAAGGAGAAGAAACAGGAGGAGGGCTGAAGCAAGTAGCAGTCACATCCCTCCGTCATGGAGTGTGTTATGTAAAGAGTGTACGCGTAAATAGGAGAAGCATGTTCACATACATTCTATTCATCCTCCTATCCTGTGGTGCCTACCATCCATGAGAAGCAGCGACAAAGAGAGGGCACACTCCTCTTGTCGTTTCCGAATAAACGGAGATGTCGCTGTTGCCTCCGTTTTTCGGCTTCGTTCCGAAGATTTTTCGCTCGCAGACGACGTAGTATATATGCTGTTCCCAATTGATTGTATCCTTCATTTCTCTTCGTTTCCAACAGAATTACTCAATTGTACTTCTTTCTCAAAATTTGGTTGTTTTCGTAGCCGCTCGAATAATAAGTTTATCTACTATCTGAAAGTTACCATTTCTTCGACCCACAGAGTCTAAAAATCGTATGATTCAACGGCGGTCATTTTCATATTGTTTACAAGTCGTTTCTCTCATATTTACATCATTTTTTTCTCTCGTCACTTTGATATATTCGTTTGTTCGCCAAAAATAAGCTTTCCGTCTTCCAATCGTACAGTTGTCTTCTGGCCACTGATTGGCGTTCCTTTTTTGTTCATTTTAAACGCGAATCAGGGTGAAATAGTTTTATTACATGCAGTGCATTTTGTGTGCACCTCATGTTGGACGACTTCCAACAATTCACCATCTCTTTTCGATCTCTCTTATCTGGTTGTTCTTTTTCTCTCTGCTTTTTTTTTACCCAGAGGCTCGCCGTCACTGCTGCGTTTCTTCTTCCTCTTCCTCTTATTTTCCTTCTATTCTGCTGCCCTCCCGGCATCTCTATCTCACGTGTTTCTGAACGATTTGTTGCCTTCTCTCACCCATTCAACAAACTCACTTTCACCTTTCATCTGTTTCTATGCGTTTTATCTTAAATTGACAAAAGTCAAATTTTCTTTTGTAAGCTAATTCGAAATGTCGGAACCGTCGTGTTCCTCTTCTTGTTGCTCATCGTGCTCTTCATCATCATCGACTTCATCAATCAGTGGATCTTCAAGTCCTCTCTTTGATGACTTTTTCTCTTGCTCGTCTTCTTCATCACATTGCAGTGATGATTCTGACAGCAGTTCATCTTCCAGTGATGCTGCCTACTCCTATGGAAACTTCTGTCATATCAACTTCAACATGTTCGAAAATAGTGTTAGTCTATAGAGTGGGAGCACTATATGCGATAGGAGAATAGCTGAAAAGTATCGATGAAAAATAGTGTAAATAAACGTCAGACCTGCAAATAAAAAAACCAAGCGGTTAGAGAAGAGAGAAAACGGGTGCACCGAAAGTTTGGTTTCTCGATAAGCAGAGAGAGAGAGAGAGAGAGAGAGAGTGAGAGACTCATGACTAAACCTACTTATTTCAAAATTTTCTTTTCAAATTCATTTTTTCAGGAGACCCTCATAGTATGGTCAGAAACTGATTGCATGGATCTCGCCCTGTCGTTCCAAGAGAAATCGGGATGTGAAGAGCTGTGGCAGAAGATCTGCGAAGTCCAAGGGAGAGATCCTGGAGATCCGGATGCCACCTTCGACGACGGCGATGACAGCGATATCGGAGAGATGTCCTCGTCTTCTAGTCGTTTACAACTGCCGCCAATCGAAATAGGAAGGCTCAGTGAGCTCGACGCCATTCTTCATATGCATTTAGCCTCAAATAGTGCTCGAGAGAAAATGACGATGGCTATTGAGAGTGACAAGTAAGTAACTCAGTCGAAAATTCTCTTGACAAGTTTTCAAAAGTTTCAGCGTCGTCACCAAGCTGTGCGAGGTTTTCCGCATGTGCGAAGATATTGAGCACACCGAAGGACTTCGAACATTCTACTCGATTGTCAAAAACTTGTTCATGCTCAATCGAAACACTGTTATCGAAATGCTCCTGGATGACTCCAACATTAAAGACGTTATTGGAATGTTTGAATTCGATCCAGCTTATAAGAATCCACGCAAGCACCGGGAATTCGTCTACGAGAAAGCCAAGTTCCGCGAGGTTTTGAACATCACTAGTGACGAGTTGAGGGACAAGATTCATCGACTCTACCGTGCTCAATACATTCAGGACGCCTGTCTACCGAGCTTGGGTCTTTTCGAAGAGAATCTTCTTTCTACTCTTGGAAGTCATGTGTTTTTCTGTCGGGTTGACATTGTATCAATGTTGCAAAAGGACAAAAAGGCAATGGCCGAGTTGTTTGGGCAGCTGAAAAGCGATGAGACGGAAGTTATTCGTCGTCGCGACTTGGTTCTGTTCCTGAAGGAGATGATTTGCTTAAGCACCAGCATCCCAGCTAACGGGCCTGCTGCTACGAAAGAAACATTCTTCAAAGTGGTGTGTATTTTTCTAAAGATTCATTTTCTCTTTTTCATTTTTCTAAAGAGTAAATTTGTAGTTGCAGCTGCAAAGTATGTTCAATAACGACATACTCGATTCGCTAGAACCCTCGTTCAAGTCGCCGGATCACGAGACGAGATGCGTTATGACTGATGTGCTCAGAACAATGGTCGACAGCAATGCGCAAACGATTCGTGATTATCTGCTCAAGCAAGCCAAGAACAAGGATAGAAACGAGGATGTGCTTCTGAACAGAATGATCAACCATCTGCTCACTGATATCGATGTACATTTGACTTCTGGATCAGAGATGATTTTGGTAAGTATTGTCAATTGTCTTTTAATCCTTAGTGAAAAATAGCAGATCTTGAAAACCCTCCTGGACCCTGAGAACATGACAAGTGTGAAGTCCGAGAGAAGTGAATTTTTGCATCTCTTCTACCATCGTTGCTTTGATACTCTGCTGAAGCCAATGCTCGAGAACGTCAGTGGAGGTGTCATCAAGAAGGACGACTACATAATTGCCAACCGACAATCAGTCGTTCTCCGCCTTCTCACCTTCTGTGTCGAACATCACTCATTTTCTATGCGTCAGAGATGTGTATCAAACGATATGATGAACAAAGTGCTCGTGCTCCTCAAGTCAAAACACTCTTTCCTCGTTCTGTCTGCTCTCAAACTCCTCCAACGTGTGGTCACTGTTAAAGACGACAAATACATAAGATACCTGGTCAAGGAGAAAGTCCTCGATCCAGTCATGGAGTGCTTCCGCAAGAACGGTAATCGCTATAACATTGTCAACTCTGCCGTGTTGCACCTGTTCGATTTTGTAAAATGCGAAGACGTTCGACCGCTCATCAAGTATGTCGTCGAGAATCATATGGAAGTGATTGAGTCAGTCAACTACGTGAAGACGTTCAAAGAAATCAAAATTCGCTACGATCAGCATCGTGACCGTGAGGAAACGATGAGCATTCGTTCAGAAGACAACTTGTCGTTGGCGAGCCCCAGAAGTTCTCGCAGAGATCGCAATGAAGATCAATGGTTCGATGAAGATGAAGAGTTGGAAGTTGGATCAATGATGGAGTCCATCGAGAAAGACTCGGTATCCGTATCACCCAAGAAGGAAGAGTCTGGACAAGGAAGGAAGACTGGAATCGAGCCAATGTTCCCATCTCTATTGAAACGTAAAAATGCGTTCGATGAAGATGAGGCACCCGTATTTGGTGGTGGATCAGCAGCCGTTATTAATAATGCAGAGAAAAAGATTGTAATTAAGGTAGGTGCAAATCACAATGACGTTCTAGAAACAATTCTAAGAAAGCCTTTCAGGTTAACAGTGATCGCTCGCCGTCTGGTACGACGTCTCCTTCATCTTCGCCCCGAGCCAGTTGCTCATCTCCAGGACCATCTAGAGAAGATGAAGTGACATCGTCTCAGAATAACAAGGAAAGCAGTCCAACTTCAACAGTCAAAGTAAGATTATATCAAAAGTTGTGTTTTATGAAAAATTCATCATTTCAGTCTCTCGTGGACTATGACGAATCCGATTCTGACGAGGAGTTGCCCTCGCCAGATGCCATTCCATCGTCGTCTACTGGAAGTCCGGAAAGCGACAAGGAGGCTGATGCTAAAGACGGAAAGAAAATAGATTCACCTGAATATAACGATGTTTCGTCCACTAGCAGCGAGGAGAAGTTCGACTCACTTCCAAATGGAGCACATGTTACTAATGAGAACGGTGGAGAGAGTACTGTGTCACAGGAGATCAGTCGCAAGCGAACCAGTGATGGATGTGATCCGAATGATGCGAAGAGAAGTAGAACCGAAGATGCAGATCTGGCTGCCAATGAGACAGCGTCTGAAGCCTAAATCCTTTCTTTCCGAATCCGCTTTTCTACCTCATCCCTTTTTTTCTCGATAACTCATCATTTTAATCGTAGATGAA